TTTATTCTCAAAAAATTCAAATGGAAATCACAACTAGTAATTCTAACATCAGACATATAGCTGCCTATGTGTGTGCGGCTATGCAATTTTGGAAACGACAGCTTTTTGAGTAGAAATTACATTTGTTGAATACTGTTTTAGAAAATTCAATTGAATAGTCCAGGATGTGATTGAATTGCACCAGATGTCTGCCATCATATCAATACCATTAGGGTAAAAAGTTATTTTCTCAACTATTAAATTGAAACATATTTTACGGTTTGTTTTACCAACAGACAAATATCAATACAACTTTCATACAAGTTTGAAAAACCAAAGTTTGAGAAAACAACTCTCCCATCCAGAACTCATTTAACACAGGGGGAGACTATGATTAATTCTCACCAAGTTAAGGACTCTCCTCAAGTCAGACAATTATACAGATGCAGCATTTAATAGCCTCCTACAATTGAATATAGATCAATACTGCTTCAAAATAACAATCCAAGTATTAACATAATTTGCATGAAAATTCTTTGATCGTCATTCTAAATTTTTTTACGGGAATTGTATATTGACCTCAGTGCTAAATGCAGATTAATGTTAGAATCATACGCTAAACGTATAATGACCTGAGTGTTAAATACATTTGTTAGAGTGTATATTGACCTGTGTTGAATGTTTATTGAATGTATATTGACCTCAGTGCTAAATATTTGTTAGAATCGTATATATTGACCTCTGTGTTGAATACATTTGTTAGAACATATATTGACCTCGGTGCACATCAAAGTAGAATTGTATACTGACCTCTGTGCTAAATGTTAGAATAGTATATTGCCCTCAGTACTAAACCATCAATGTAGAATTAAATAATGACCTCAGCACTAGATTCATGTTAATGTTAGAATCATTTCGTGACCTAACTGTGTTAAATGCACGTTTACGTTATTGAATTTTAACGAGAAGTTTTTATAAAAGAATTTTGGTTGTCATCAGCGAACATTCAAAAATCACAGCTATTACACGCTGTGTGAATGACCTTGCTATTCAGCTCTAATGGGTGATTTCAGGGACGTACAAATAGCGTCAAATTGTTCACATTAACATTCACTGAAAGAACTTCGCACACGAACATGGTAATTTCAAAACATGCATTAAAAACCTAACACTGCGTATGATGTTAAGGGATCAATAGACTTGCAATGTCTGTTTAGCATACAACTCTTCAAGACCTACAAATATTTTTGCCATTAAATGTCCATTTCCTTCCCACAAAAATCGTATGCTTAATTAAAATCCATAAGTTAGTTATTAACGCCCAACCCCAAAGTTATGCTAAATTTATTTGTGAATTGAAATTTTGTAATTCTTAAAAAAAAGTCATTGTCAATGACAGTCCGTGTCCAGTTTCGATTGAATTAGTCAATTAGAGGTTATTAATATGTAGCAAATAACTAGCAACAAATTTCTGGAGGTGTGTCAAGTCAGTGAGCTTAAATTTAATCAGCAATCAGACAGAAAAAATGAATTGGCTTGTCAATGGCTAATTTATATGTAAAATCAGCTCTACTGTTTTAAAGGCATATAAGAACATCTTTCGTAAGTAGTGCCATATCATTCGTTTTCAAAAATTATACAATGTTGACAGACAAAAACACTTCCAATGCAATAATACCATCTGATTAGAAGAGTTCAGAGTAAAGTATATATTTCAAATTAGTTACATGTAGGTACAAATGTACAAGGAAGTAAAGTAAACAATTACATGTATATCATATTGAAGTTATCCACAGCCGAGAAACGTGTCAACAACTGTAGAATTCCAAGAAGATGTACTCATAATGTGCAAGACAGCTTGAACTACAAGACTATTTGTCATGCATGTGATTTCTCCAGTATTCAAGAAATTGGCGGATCCTTGATGTTGAATTCATTGTACTAACTTTGCATGTCTGAGTTAGAGTTAAAAAACAAGCAAATAAAACAAACATGGCCACCAGTCTGCCATCTTGAATCACATTGCAAAATCTGGTGAGGGATTTTTTTCATCTCATGCTGAGAGTCCACATTGAGAAGAATATATATTTATGTACTACCAAAGACAGAAATAAAGGTAAAACATCTATAGAATGCTACTATCAGCAACCATGTGCACTGTGGAGGAAACTTCCCTTTGCATAAATTTGAATACATTGAGAGAAGTTTAGCAATTCATGTCAACAACAAGACTATTTTCAACCCATGCCGTGAAGCACTTTTATATTAGGGGAATGATTAAATGCTTTCATCATAGAAACTAGATACCATGAATACTGTCTGGGTAAATCAATTTGTTATTCAAAAAATTGTCAGTTGACAATTTGTTATAAATGACATAGAACTGTATTATTAAACGGAGGTGATCGTTGCTTTGCTAGTGTTCAATAGTTCAATATGGAACCCATATTATGTAGACAGCGCATACAAATTACATTATTTTCACGAAATTTTAACACCCGATGCATAACCACCACAACAAGGGAATTGACATTCGTTTTTCATTTCAGCCCAAACTTTCAAAAAAATAGAAGCTGCACATTATTCGTTATAATATTTGAATGTTACGAGAATTGTTTTTTCTTTAAATCCATTAGTAGTCCTTCGGATACTATAAAAGCATTAATTATTCACAGTTTCTTAATTTCACTAATTTCACCGATAAGTAAAATCTTGTAAATCCACATGAACGTGGTACAACATTTGAACCCATTGTCTCCCTGCCGAACTTAAAACCCAGTGAAACTGCTCAAAATATTAAATTGTTGTACAGTACTACAGGTCACACAAATTTGACTGTATACATAATGAGAAGTACAACACTGAAAACAAACACTGAAGGAGCAGAGAATATCATTGGTTTGCAGGTGTTTCGTAAAATAGTTTTTGTTTTCACACAAGCAAGTCTACAGAGAGGAGAGTGACGAACGAGTCTGTTTTGACACGTCTGTGGTTTACACATGGTTTTCCACTTAAAATAAGTGATAGTTGGAGACTTCATGTCTGTTCCCATCAACATTTCACCATACTGAGGGAAAAAAATTGTTTTTTTCATCGATCTTTATGTGAACACAGAAAGAAGCAACTATCTTTTTTTAATAAATCACCATTTTCTTTTATTTTTTTTATTACATTAGTGATAGCAATTTTTTGATTTTTAGCCAGATTAACAAAAACAAATTATTAAA